TATTTGGGGAGATTCCTTCACTTATTGCCCTTACAGCATGTAATAGGAAAAAAAGCCCTGCACATTGGATCACATCTAAGGCGTCGGATGTCAACAAGACCAGTGTCAGGTTGCACAGAACGTCATGGATTTTGGAACAAAAGGACACGTCAACGACTCGCAATGGACATTGTCTTATGCTCTGCACTTACAACGCCAGGACAGTCTCCACCAACGCCGATCTTCACGCCCTTCTCGAAGCTGCAGGGTGCGTCAACTATCACGTAACTGAATTGAAAACAAAAGTCAAGGAAGAAGGATGTGAGGCAGCTGAGTGATGGCACACTTATCATTTGTGCTGAAGTTCCATCACGGAACGTCGGAGTCAGATTTGTCGTACACCCATCTGTTGTCCATCTTGTCGATTCGCATGAGATCCTATCACCTCTCTGGCTATCCTTCGACTCCGTCCTCTGCATCAGAAAGCCATCACTGTCATGAACTGCTATTCTCCAACATCACAAGCTGATGATTCGGAACTTGATGCCTTTTAGGATTTGAAGGAAGTCATTCGCAAAGAAAAATCCTTCTATAAGTTTGTCGTGGGTGACTTTAATGCGAAAATATGGAAAAAGGGGAGCACAGGATCGGGAGATTTGGACCAGGACTCCGTAATAAGAATGGTAACCGTCTTGTTGGACTTTTATCCGCCGCACGACTTTTTCATGGCAACTCCATTTTCGTGAAGACAGAACACCGGCAGTGGACATGGGAGTCACCCAACGGTACGACTCATGGGGAGATCGACCACATTCTCGCTAACCGAAGGTGGTGCTTACTGGACGTCTCAGTGGTACCATCTTCAGTAGTGGCTCAGATCACCGCCTCCTTCGAGCAGATGTGCGATCCAGCGGAAAGCTGGAGAAGAGATCTGCCACCATGTTGGAGGAAGGAGAGAAGTCGTATATGACGGCGTCAGATTGGAGGAGCTCCTGACCACTTGTAACTGGCCCATCGAGCAGGACCCGATGAAAGACTATGATCTGCTTCTCAAAGGATTGAGAGCCTGTGGTGAAAGTGCCTCAATGCCTCGAACAAGGAACTTGGAACGAATTTGGAAAGCCACGAAGGATCTGCCAGAGAGGAAGTACACGCCGCAATTTGGACCATGAAGGCAGCCACGGCTCCGAGACCGGACCACGTTTCGGTCGACCTCTGGAGGACATCGCCTAGACGAGATACTTGCGGAGCATCTAATATCTTTCCTTCAAAAGGAAAGGATTCCCGACCAGCGGAGAACTTCCCGAACAATCCTCCTTCACAAGAAGGGCGATACCGAGGATCTTCGGAACTACCGTCCGATATGCCTGCTGAGTGCGCTTTACAAGCTTTTTAAATTATTCTCGCTCGCATATCAAGGACACTGGATGAGGCTCAACCTGTAAAACAAGCTGGATTTCGCAAGGGTTCAGCTGCATGGATCACATCCAGACAGTTTCGAGGATAATCGAGGTTTGCCGAGAGTACCGCCTACCTCTCGTCTTGACCTTCGTTGACTATGAGAAAGTGTTTGACAGCGTCGAGACTAATGCCATACTGTTAGCGCTCGTCGACCAAGAGGTGGACCCCTCCTACGTATTGGCCGACTGCTACAGGAACTGCTCTCCCCTTAACAGACCAATCTCGAAGGGAAAACGATAAGGCGAAGCCGTGTCGCCAAAGCCGTTTACCGCCGCTTTGCAGTGGGTGATGAAATCACTGGATTGGAATGAGAGAGGTATGCGAGTTGATGGGAGATTCC